CTCTCTCTCTCTCTCTCTCTCTCTCTCTCTCTCTCTTCGTCGTTGTCTTTTGTGCAGGTACGCGTCAACTTCTTCCACAACACGGCTACGGCGGACCTCTTCTTCAAGGTTGGCGCACTTCAGCTATGGCACCCACGCGTCTCTCTCCTGCCGCAACGGCGATGGCGCATGGAGTACCGGGTACCAGCTCCGATACCAGTGCCATCAGACTCGCATGCATTCACACTTCACATGTATGCAAACAGGTTGCGCAGCAAACTGGCGTCAAGCGCCCACTCAGAACTCAGAGATATAGTACCAAGAACTCAGTTCAGATACAAGTTCACTTCCTCTGGCTATGGAGGCACATCGCTTGTACAACTCTCTGTTCGTCACGCACTCGACACTGCTGTACGCACACAGGATCAACCTGGATACCCCACACGCATCACCCTGCACACTCACACACACCCGCACACATCTACAGCTATGGCGACTATGGCCGCTGCTACCCAATCGCTATGGCGAAGCTTCTTCTCGCCCACTTCGTCCTCGGGCTCACTACAGACCACCTCGCACAAGTCGCTATGGCAGCGCTTCCGCATGGCTTACGCAGGAAATGAATGAATGGTTGGTCGCTGCCTCTCGATTTATACTTGTGTAGCTCGTTGGTCTGGCCCTTTCCCACGCCCGTGGTGCACACAGTCCCGTACAGTACTTGCTGGACTTGACTAGGACTGACTGGGACTGGGACTGCTGACTCAACACGGGTAGACTCCGCCACTTGCCCACTTGCCTCTGTCTCAAACGTGAGCAGCTTCGAAAGGCCACTTCCGGACCTTCCGAAAGTTCGTGGACTTGGCCTTAGCAGCTACGACCTTGACTTCTTAGGATTGTAGCAGCTACGATCTTGACCTTCCAGGATCCCTACAGCTACGACCTCTACAGGGCTGTGACTCCTACTCAACAGACCTACAGATCGAACCCCTACCACTACACATACCTACGACAGACAACAACTGTCAAAACATAGGTCACGGGTTCAAACACTCGGGGTCGACACATATATTGTACACAGGTAAGGTGAGATCTAGGGATCGAGCCCTGGGATAAGCATTCGCTACTGCTAAAAGGTGAAAACCGTTTCAACTTTGGACTTTTATGAGGAAATCCAGTCCGTCGTCCCATTGATGTTTTTGGTAAAGATTTAGAATCAGACTTTGTTTGTTGTGTTCTCTGGATATGTTTGTGATCAAGCAATCTTGCATGTATGCCCCGTGCTTACTTGTTGATTTTTGACGCTTTGTGTGCAAGTGCGTGCGCGTGTGGGTGAGTCTCACTTTGGTGGGCTCCGATGATGTCAGTGATGATTGGCCCGGGGAAGGTGTTGGAAGGCGCCTCCAACTATAGGAGTGTCGTTGATGCTAAGCAGGTTTTGCATTGTATGCATGAAACAATCAAATCAGCATTCAATCTGCTTGGCAGTTGCTCTTCGGGTGGGGGACTTGTTGGGAGTAGCATTGACATGAGAGCCATAATGTCGGGCGTGCATCTTGGAACATTTCCAGGAAGGCAAAAGGCAAAAAAGAAACGTAGCACGTGTCAGAGTCACATAATGGCTTGGCACAGT